GGGGTGTGGGAGGGGGTGCCTCGCTGTCAGGCCTGCCCCTGTCGTCCGAATTCTTTTCAGAAGACTCAGATACGGGCTCGACCGTCCCTCGAGCCCGGTGGGAGTGACGGTATTACCTCCGCGGAGCTGGTGTCCCCGGATCGTGAGCAGCCCCTGGGCTCAGGGTCCCCGTCCATTCAAAGTGCAGCCGGGGGGCGGAGTTTGTGGGTTGTCTGATTTAGAAGTTGTGTGGTGAAGTTTGCATAACTGATGCTTTCAAATGGCGAATCTAAAAACGTAGAGGATTAAAACGAGAGATCGGGAAGGATTTCATTGTCATATGAGCTCTTGGAAGCGCTAATACCTTGCTAGATGTGTGTTCTTGACTTGTCCGCGATAAGTGGCTGGACTGAAGGAGAGCTTAAGTCACACAAGATTTCATTCTTTTCTTTCAGAAAGTCGTGCAGGAAGAGCTGGATGCCCTCCTGCAGCAGCAAAGCACTATAGAGAACAAGATGGTTGCACTTCATCGCATGGGGTTAGTGATCCCTACCGTCTCCCCTTCTCTCTGCTGCTGCACACTGTTCAGTACCTTCCTGCTTACTGTGTGACGTGAAAATTCATTTGAGTGTTGCGAGGGAAACATACTCATTTTCATAAAATGTCAGACTAAAACAGTTTGCAGTAGGGAACAGTAGCTAGATCCTTATCCCTGGGCATCTGGTTCTTCTCAGCAGCACTAACAAAGGGAATTACTGCACCCTCACACAGACTGACCCATTTTGATGTAGGCTGAATGTCTCACCCCAGAGATTGTCAGGTTTCAGCATCGATGCTTGGATCAGATGTTTTGTGTCAGGCTGTTTACAGGTATGGACAAATTGTACTGCCTCTTCAGGGTGAGTTTGTGCACACAGTCTGGAAAGCCATCTCAACTAGCCTTATGTGCAATAGAAGCTTGGAGCACCAAGTTTACAGACTTCACTTTCCTCTTCAGAAGCAGAGAATATCATAAAGCCTCAGTGGCTCATTCATACCCTATTTGATAGCAAGGCAGTCTGATTTTGATGTTTTGTTTCTGGAGGAGGGGCATGAATTCAGATACTGTTGCTGACAGGATGTCCTGGGTTCAGCTGTAAGTGTTGTTTTTCTCCTTCCTAGTAGCTGGTGCAGTGCTGTGTTTTGGCTTTAGTCTGACAACAATGCTGATAACATAGTGATGTTTAGTTGTGGCTCAGTAGCGCTTACTCTGATCAAGGACTTTTCAGACTCTCATGCTCTGTCAGTGAGGAGGGTCACAAAAAACCAGGAGGAATCAGAGACAGGACACCTGACCCAAACTGGCCAAAGGGGTATTCCATACCACAGCACGTCATGCCCAGTATAGAAACTGGAGGGTAGTCACCCGTAAGGGACTGATCACTGTTCAGGTCAGGCTGGGTATCGGTCAGTGTGTCCTGAGCAATAGTATTGTCCATCACTTGGGTTTATTGGGGTTTTCTCTTTCCCCTTTTAGTTTTATATTCTCTCCCCTTGTTATTTCCCTTATCATTATTATTCTTGGTGGTAGTGGTAGTAGTTTTGTATCATGCCTTAGTTACTGAACTGTTCTTATCTCAACCCGTGGGAGTTACATTCTTTCGATTCTCCTCCCCATCCCGCTGGCGGGGGAAGAAATAGGGAATGAGCAAGCGGCTACGTGGTACTGAGTTACCGGCTGGGCTTAAACCATGTCACAGGAGCAATTGGGTTTGGAGGAAGAACCATCCTGCTGGTGTAGACCATCGAACTATTGAATATTTGCATCTCATGTTCAATTTGCGTATGTTCCAGCCCTAACTTGCAGCTCATCGAGGGAGATGCCCAGCAGCTGGCAGGGATGATCACCTTCACCTGTAACCTGGCCGAGAATGTTAGCAGTAAAGTCCGCCAACTCGACCTGGCCAAGGTAACTGGACTGAGGAGGTGTCTGGGACTTGTCACCACCAAGCTATAATCTGCTCGTGTGCTTACAGCAGAACAGAGAAGTGCGCTCTCTTCTGTAGTGGGCAGGTGGGCTGGAAATGGCTTTGTTCTTCATTTTGGCAGTATCTAGTGTTGTTAGGTAATGGTACGTTGCTGGGCTCCTGGATATTGCAGGGTGCAAAAGTAAATAATGTATATGCTGGTTCTCCAGCATCCCCTTCTGTCCATGCAGCTCCTGGTAGAATATGGTGAATAAGTTGAGGTTAATCTTCATTAGAACTCTTTTATCAGTTACTTCAATGGTGAAGATAGGGGAGTTGGTTGTTGTCACCCAAGACTGGTCACAAATCCAGACTGTTATATTCTTCCTACAGATACAGGTTAAGACGTGTCAAGTCCCATTGCTCAGCACAACTGTTCAAATCAAAACAGATAACATGGTTTTATCTCTGGTCTCTGCCTGTGGAGTATGGCCTCCAAGTTCAATCTTCATCTCGATGAATATTGTTCCTCTCTTGGAACCATTGGTTTTAGGACTTTTTAAGTAGTGTGGGGTTTCTGCTCACAAAGTTGTTTATTATGCAGAGAAGTATCACTTCAGTCTGTTTCATTCCACCCCCCCACACACACATTGTCTTCTTGTAATTCTCTTTCTCTGCTCCAGCCTGCAGTAGGAAGCCTTACACGTTGCCTTTCTTGCAGAATCGACTCTATCAGGCCATTCAGAGAGCTGATGACATCCTTGACCTGAAGTTCTGCATGGATGGAGTTCAGACAGCACTGCGAAATGAAGATTATGAACAAGCAGCAGCTCATATCCATCGTTATCTGTCTCTGGACAAATCAGTGATTGAGCTCAGTCGTCAGGGCAAGGAAGGTAAGTACTGTTCACGAGGCGAAGCTGACAAGTCACCTTTCCAGTAGATAACCAGAGGCTGCATTATTTCCTATGGCAGATAGCTTTACTCCAATAGACAAAGCGGAAGACCTAATGGTAGCCGAAGATCTGAGTACTTTATAGAGTAACATAGAGATGAACATTTTTGAAGTGTTATCAGGTTTGAATTATCATTAATTGGAAGGAGAGTTCCTGGCACGCAGCTTTAATAGTATTTCAGGTACTAACTTAGTGAAGGACAAAATGTTCAGGTCAAAAGAAGAGTGGGAGAAGGCTCTGTCAGGGAGAACCATGGCAGTGTTATGGTGTGTTACCAAGCAGAGCAACTGGAAATGAAGGAGTAAATTGCCTGATCCCTAAAAGAAATATCTCAGTTGATGTGTTCACATCCTCCATGCAAGACCACGACATTAGCTGCGTGTACATCACACATGTAGCTTTTTTCTTTGCCTGTAGTGGAATTCCAGCATGTCTTCTGCCTTTTCACCCTGGGGCTGTTCATATCTCTCCTGGGGAAAAAAATGTGGCTCTTGATACAATACTGACATTGTGCTGTTACTCTTCCCTTTCTTTTCTGTTCTTTTGACCAGGGGGCATAATTGATGCCAACCTGAAGCTCCTGCAGGAAGCAGAACAGCGCCTGAAGACAATTGTCACAGAGAAGTTCAACACAGCTATGAAGCAGGGAGACCTGCCCCAGGTGGAACGGTTCTTCAAGATCTTTCCTTTGCTAGGCTTACACGAAGAGGGGCTGAGCAAGTTCTCGGAGTACCTCTGTAAGCAGGTAACATGTTCTGTGAAACATGACCTGGCTGATCTCCTAGAGGGAAAGCAAAATCCAGTCTGTCAACAGATGTAGTGGAAGAAGGTCTTAGCTCTGGGTTGCTAATCTTGGAAACCAGCACTGGCCTTAGTTCATCTCTCTCCCTGCATTTTGCATCCTGGGATGCGCTTTCTGGTGTCTGAATACAGATCCCGATGGCTAGCTGGCTTCTCCTTCTGTGTCTTGCTGTTTGTGCTTGCTTAAACCTCATGGAAGGGAACCTGGAAAGAGAAGAACAAGTTTCTGCCTCTCCTTGATCCTTCAGTTTTCTGCAAGAGAGGAAGGATCCCTGTTGAAAGGAGAAACAACTGCAATAGCTTTTGCAATGGGAAAGCCACCGAAAGCTCTGCAGGGCAAGGGACAGAGGACCACCCTATGGGATGAAGACTATCTTTGAGTGTCACCACCTGACTGGTCCTGTTGTCATGCAGGTGGCCAACAAAACAGAAGAGAACCTACAGCTGGCGATGGGGACGGACATGAGTGACCGTCGAGCTGCTGTCATCTTTGCGGACACGCTGACACTTCTCTTTGAAGGTGATTTTCCTTTTCTCTTTGCTGGTGAACTGAAAATAATCCGTGATGGGATTGTCCACCAGTTTAAATGATTTTAATTATAGCTCCAGGAGATCACAGAATGTCTCCTTCCCCTTTCAGCTATGGGAGTGTCATACTAGAGGGACACAGCTAATAGACCTTTCCTAGCCAGGAGAGGGCATTACAATATGCAAGCTTTCCCTATGTACAGCTCGCTCAGGCACAGATTGGATTTACAAAGGATTTGTTGGCTTCTTCCAGGAAGCAGACATTTCCTGTTCTCTATGTCCTCAAAACAAATGGGTATTCCTTGAAGGTTTCTTCAGATATGCAGCTCTCCAGACAAACAAATTAAATCCCTTAAGACAGGGTATCTGTTGATGCCTCCAGGCCTCTTCACTGAGGACCATGGGAACTTGTAGGCAGAGAGGGAAAGGAGAGAAGGGAATATGAATGCTTTGTGGGAATGTCGCCAAAGACAGTAATTGAGATCCCATGGTGATTAGCCATCTTCTCTGTTAAGTCTGCTGTAATTCCAGGCTGCACCACTGCCAAGTCATTCTCCCAGCCTGGCACCCGTGCTGCTATTGAAGGTCCTTAGAACTCATGAGGTTTTCTTGGCAGTTGCTTCAAAAGAGAGGGAGTGTTGCTAATTCTTGGAGTGTTTATGAGAAGAAAGCAATATGGTAGAGATACCTCCTTAGAGATGAGCTTTTTTCTCCAAGGAGGCCTTGCCATCACTAATTGTCCTTTGTTCAGCAGTAGCAGTCATTTTCTCCTTCTTAGTAGCTGGTGCAGTGCTCTGTTTTTGACTTTCAGCCTGGGAACAACACTGATCACACCAATGTTTATAGTTGTTGCTAAGTAATGTTTACTCTGACCAAGGAGTTGTCTCAGTCTCATGCTCTGCCGGGGAGGAGGGGAAGCCGGGAGAAAGCAGAAGCAGGACACCTGACCCAAACTGGCCAAAGGGGTATTCCATACCACAGCACGTCATGCCCAGTATAGAAACTGGGGGGAGTTACCCAGAAGGCCCAGATCGCTGCTCGGGTCAGGCTGGGTATCGGTCGGCAGGTGGTGAGCAGTTGTGTCCTCTCCCCTTGTTATTTGTCTTATCATTATTACTGGTAGCAGTAGTGGTTTGTATTATACCTTAGTTACTGGAGTGCTGTTATCTCAACCCATGGGAGTTACATTCCTCCGATTCTCCTCCCCATCCCTCCGGGAGTGGGGGGAGGAAGAAGTGGGGGGAGTGAGCAAGCGGCTGCGTGGCTTCGAGTTACTGGCTGGGCTTAAACCATGACACTAATGCTTGCTTTCTCAGGAACTGTGTGACAGATAAGAGCAGAGCTTTCCCTAAGCTGATTTTCCTGGTACTGCTCTTCTCCTGGTACCTGGCATGAACTAAGGCAGGGTTTGAGTGGTAGTTATGCCCCCTGCCAGGTTTAGCTCATGCAGCTTTCTCCTGTGGAAGCTTCATACCTTTTGTCTTGCTGGATAGGAGGGCAGTCAACACACATTGCATGGCAGGAGCTCTCTATAGGAAAAGAGATGCCTTCTACTCCAGGAGATTTGCATTGTAGCCTTGCAGTAAACAGCAGAAAGGATAGAAGGTGTCATATCAGAGAAAAGATGCCATGAAATGAGGGCTTGTAATAACAGGCCTTCAGTGAGGCACTAGAAAGTGGCTGGACAGTCTAAACTGCTAACCTGGGTGTGAATGATCTCTTGTTAAGTCCTGTCTGTGGAACTGTGTAGCTCTGCTCTTGGTCTAGACTGGATTGGAACTCCTGCTTGAGTCTTCCTCTTGTGCTTCCCCTCTCTCTGCAGGGATTGCTCGCATTGTGGAGACCCACCAGCCCATTGTGGAGACCTACTATGGGCCAGGGAGGCTGTACACCCTCATCAAGCACCTGCAAGTGGAGTGCGACAGGCAGGTTGAGAAAGTGGTGGACAAGTTCATCAAAGAGAGGGACTATCACAGGCAGGTAAGAGGAGCATGATAGTGCTTGATGCAGCCAACAGTGGCCTCTTCCAGCTCCATGGAGCTCTGATTGCCATCGAGGTGGCAAAGCTTGACCTTGTGTATTGAGAGAAACCATGCTTTTCTCAACATGTGCACTGATGATTGAATGGGTCCAGCCTGTAGCTATCCCTTCTATTGCAGAGAAGGATTCACTGGGAGCATGGTAAATGGGCCATGGGGACAGGATTTGTTGCTGTGCAGGTCTGTAGGGTGCTTTCAGTACACTTTCCCCACTGTGGTGTTCCTGCTTCTGCCTGTTAGCTGCAGGGCTATCTCATGGTGTTCCTGCTTCTGTCTGTTAGCTGCAGGGCTGTCTCATGGCCATATAACTAGATGCCTCTGTTGGTGTTCCCATCCCACCACTCTTACTGGCAGGCTGAGCTCTGTCTTGCAGGAGGACGTTAAATGATGTGGTTCCCTTCTCTGGCAGTGCTTTCTGCAGTGCATTCCTGTCACCATCCCTGAGTAAGCACCTCCTTAGGCTACAGCAGGAGAAGTGGCTGTTAACACCAAGTCATCAACAAAGACTTTGATGAGTCTCCTTTTTTGTGATTGCAGTTCCAGCAAGTTCAGAATAGCATGATGAGAAGTTCTTCTGCAGAGAAGATTGAACCAAGGTACAAACAAAACCTCTTTTTGCTCTCTGCCTTCCACTCTTGAGCTGTTATTAACACTACTTAGCATTTAGATAATTCTCACAGTCTTCCAGAGGCTTTGTGGCCACTAAAGCATAAAATCCAGTTATTAGGTGCCCTTCACAACCGTTTATAAAGGTAGCTTCTGTGGTGGTGCTTTATTTTGCTTACTCATTACCTTTAAGCCTCTGGCCTAAACATTGCTGGAGGGCTGGCAGTATCACTGCACACAAAGGACTGACACTTTAATTACCCATGACTGTTTGGTGGTCAGCGTTGGTTTCTGAGCTTTTGTTTTTTCATCTGTAAAATAAAGATAATGGATCTTTGCTTCACTCATGTGTTGTGAGGCTTTGAGCAAGATTTGTAAAGTTCTTCTTTGCCCACTAATGAAAAAGTTGTTGATGTGACAGTCTGGTTTTTCTTTTTTCATACTCATCTCTGATCTGTACACTGCATTCTGCATTGTCCTGTGCTTTTTTTGGTCTCATGTTTCCTGAGCTCTTGAGCTTTAACAGATTCTTCATCGTTTTCAGAGAAACATATGAATCTGTGCAAAAAAGCACATAGATGGAGATGACAGGGAACCAGGCTTTTCTAACACTGGCCACAAGGGTCACAGAATCATAGCAAAACCGAGGTAGGAAAGGACTGCCAAAGGTCTCTAGCCCAACCTCCCATTCAAAGTGGGGCTAATTTTGAAGTTATATCAGGTTGCTTCCTCTTGGAGTCCTTACTGTGATTTCACTTTGGTTGTTCTCACATCTGTGATGAAAAAAAAGCTTCTCAGTAATGATTTTTTCTGCTTTGATTGTGTGTGCATTCTTTGCACATGCTGGTTATTCTGCTGCGCTTTGTCACTTGATGGCACAGATGGGAAGGGGTGGTATCTCATAGTAAGGGAGCAGAGAACACAAAACTCAGTTAAATTAGCGTCTCTCCTTTTGTAGTCTTGCTAACTTGATTCTTGCTATGCTCCTTCCAGGGAACTCGACCCTATTTTAACAGAAGTCACTCTGATGAACTCCCGCAGTGAGCTCTACTTGAGGTTCATCAAGAGACGAATAATAGCCGATTTTGAGGTGGGAGACTCCATGGCCTCAGAGGAGGTAAAGCAAGGTAACACCTTGAATACCAATGCTTGCAGGCTTCATTCTCCTTGCAGCCAGCAGTGGAGATAGAGCTGAGTTAGTGGTAGAGCACAGTGACACAGGATCTGCAAAGGGAGCTGTCATGGTTCAAGCCCAGCCGGCAACCTCGCTCACTCCCCCCCTTCTTCCTCCCCCTACTCCCGGAGGGATGGGGAGGAGAATCGGAGGAATGTAACTCCCATGGGTTGAGATAAGAGCAGTCCAGTAACTAAGGTATAATACAAACCACTGCTGCTAC